ATACGTTTAATGGTAATGGTCAAAACTTCATGAAATGAATCTCATCCAAAATCGCCATCATTAGACACAATAACATGATCTGTATAATCCTGTGTTCTAATGTCAAAAAACTCCACAGCAAACTTGTTATTATGTTTCATTTTGTTAACCGAGTGATATATACTTTTCGGAGTTAATTTATTATTCAGATAGTCAGTGAAATCAGTTTCTTGGGGGTTTTTTGTAACTGGGTTATTAACATCGTCAGCGTCTCGTATAATTAATTCTCTGCTCATCTCGACCTTTTCCTGAAACTTGATAGTTCCATTATCAACTGTTGCCAAACCAGAAAGAACTTTAGCGCCAACGCTAGACGATAATCTGGAGCCAGATTCATAAGACTGCTAAACAGAGAGCCACCTATTTTCACAACATGACGTAAAGACTATCTGCGATTTTCTTATCTTGATATCCACACCAACACCAGTTGACATTGCTTTCTGTATCTTTTTGATCTCCGTAGTTAATACGATAATATATGTTACATCATTTCAAAACAATCAGGAATCAAGCATATTCAATTTAAAAAAACAACAGTCCTCAGAACAAACTTTCCTGACATCACATCTACACTGATTTCTTCCTCATGCAGGATCAAGGCAAACATGTTGTACTCTGCATTAGGTGTAGTAGATAAAATGTATTTCAATTCAAGTTTCGTAGAGCCAGACTTCAATTCTTCTTTCTGGTTTCGTAAATCAAAATAGAGGACACCGAATGGATTCTGAAACAAATCAATATCAATCGTCAGGCGTGTGAGGTCATTGAAAGCACGGGAATTTGTTGTCATGTTGTTACCCCGATCTCTATTCTCTCTTTCAGACAGGGCCATATGTGTTTTTTCAAATACCTTTTAAGGAATAAGTTCTCACCTTTATAATCGAACATCATCTTTGGCTACTACAAAACAAATCTCGGAATAACATATCTACCTTCTGCAGCGCTGGCTGCTCTGAAAATAACATGGTCATCACTTTCTAAGTTTATATTTATAGATACCTTATCATTTGAAGCCATCTCTGATTGAAACGATTCGAAGAACCCATATTTGTTCAATGGAATTATGAGGTTATTTGTAGCATTAGTGCTAAATGTTTTCCTTTACGTACATGTACACAGGTCCCCATTGCGTTTGCCCGATGGGTTTTGAAGGGAAAAGATGTCAGGATGTAGCGACTCTCTTGAAGTCTCTTGAAAATTTTAACCAATTGTAACTGAATTTAATTAATTTACTCGATTGCAGAACAGAACGCGAAAATTAAAGCCGCCGGTTGATCAGAGCTGTTTTCCTCTAAATTGCATTTATATTTTCCGTGTGGTAGAATAGACGTTGAATGCGCATGTCTAATATAATTGTGCAACTCAAGTTGCTGACGATCACAGAAAAGGATAGAGGAAAAGCGACTTAAGTTTGTGCCTGATTTCATCTTTACTTTATGTGACAAGACGAGGGATAGTTTCCCATTTGCTGATTCTCTACACTACCATATGTGTGAAAAAGCTTTAGATGACGCGCATGATTTTAGATCCACAGAACAGACTTCGACTAGGAGAATTTTTTTAAGGAAACCTAACCGAAAACAATGGCCAGAAAAAGGGAGCTGTTAAAAATCCGAGGGAGGCCAATTTTTTCGGTTTCCCCAAAATAGACACTGATAACGGCTTGCCAGCCGCTCTAAATGGTTGTTGTTGTTGTTTTTGTTATTGTTTTTTTAAGGTAGTGACAAAAAAAGTCGCGATAATCCCTACCGCTTATTTCGCGCGTGCCTAAATGAATTGTATCAAAATCATGTGTCGTGAGTGAACCTAAAAAGCGCAGAAAAGTGCTTATTTTGAGAGTTCGTTTCGAGAAGTTCTCTCGTGCTCTCTAAACTTCCCACGTGCATCCATAACTCGATACACGCACGCTAATCATGGACCAATTCTTTTAAAAGCACCTTGTTAATATAGCTACCTTCAGGCCGAGAAAATGAAGTTGTAAATGGAGGCAGTCTCGTTCGAAGACTTCGACGAAATCAACGAAATCTCTGTTAGGAACATCAAGAAAGCATGCATGAAGCACTACGGTATGTCGGAAACGATGTTCTGCGATGCACTTGCAGGGGAACATACCTCAAAGAGCGTCATTTCAAATTCCATGCAAGTTTGTCCCGCAGAGCCTGTCGGTTGTTGACATGCTAAAATTGGGAAAGCTCATTACCGATACCACAACCTACGTTGAGATCTTCAATGTTGACATGTCGGTAATGGCGCGCACCGGAAGACCAACAACCGTGGATTTTTCTATTGAACCCGAGCCATTTGGAATTGGTGGATTTCGTAAGGCGTTCAAAGCGACTTCCAATGACAGAGGATTCAATGGCTCAACATGGGTGGTGAAGAGGTATCTAGAAAAGGCTGCGGTCGACATCATTGCTTCACATCGGAGGGTACATTCCTCAAATATATCAACAACAATGGGAGCATATGTGAGAGCGTCAATCCTGATTCTTTGATCAAGAAAGCAGTGTCTGGCAAACTTCTCATATAAACGGTCAGAGAGAGGGAGAGGTGATGTTGCTGGATATTCAAGTCCGTGAAAGTTGCCTTTTTGACCTGGAAATTGTTAGCAAGGAGCTAGGGCCCAGCAACATGCTGTTTTGTACATGTAATCTGCCCTAGAATGCCATACAGAACTTCACTGCCAGCCACAAGTGCAATTATTACTTCAATGTATTGCAATTAATTGCATTTGAATGATTAAACCCGGTATGGTCTTTCCGTCTGCAACGCTTTAGGAGGCTCATATATGGTAATTGGTAGTCAAGTGGGCTTCAGAGGCTGATCATTCCACTTTTGAGTGGGGAGGGGGGGGGCGGGAGGGGAGGAAATTTCAGTTAAGCATGATTATTGGCTTTTTTTTTTTTGCATGCTTCCTTCTGCAAGTTATAATTTTAATTCTTTTTTTGGCGGGTGGAGAAATTTTTTTCTTGTTATGTTGTTGTTGTTTTTGGCACCAAAACAGCTTGCAGCTTACGCCCCCACTTAAATATAAAATGGCTGACTCATTTATTTGGTCATTTATGGTATGAAGTAATCTACCTTTCAGTAACCATGGCAAAAGAAGTCCCCCAAAAAAGACAGTGGGTTTACCCAAACATGGCAACAAGATGGCCGACTTACACAAATCACACTGCATGAAAACATGCGCCTGCATATATCTGCAACAATACTGCAGGCATTGCATGCTGGTGATGATATAAACAGTGAAACTCACCTATGTTACCTTGGCTTGACCGCGTGATGTGAAATTGTCTTTGGCCTTCTTCTTAAATTGGGGAGCCCTTTCGGCGAGAGCATCTGGATCTACATTGTAGATTACGGCATGTACAAGATCCCGCGGAACGTTAAGCTCGTGAACCTGTCTGAGTTTTTTGTGCAACGCTCGGTGGCCAAGAAATTTTCCCGGCCCTTCCGATTCTTTCTTTAATGCCTCTTCAACCTCGTCCACCTGAACGGTTTGGTCTGTGTATTTGATTCCAGAGTACTCCAGTCTTCTGTCTGGCGTCCTTAAACTCCACGCATATTCACTCAAATCCCTTGAAACAAAGTCTAAAAGTTCAATTCGACGAAGGTTTTGCTTCACATAACCACCTAACGCGTCATTTAACTCCTTGTCTTCTCCTCGTCTGCTAATCGTTGTTTCTAATACGAGCAGTCGCCATTTTAAATAGGAGCACGATTTTACCCGAAAGGCTCTCTGGCCTGTGGCAAAGCTAGGCCAAGAAGATTATTTTTTTCGCTATGGCAATGTTAGGCCATAACCAATTTTTTTCGTTTTAGCTATTTTTTCCCCTATGGCAACGATAGGACATGAACAATTTTGCTTTGACCTTTTTTAATTCCATTTTAAATTGTTTTTAACAAAAACCAAAGGCATAAAAACATAAAAAAGAAAACAAAAAATAAAAATAAAATACGGATATATAAGAAAATTGTTGAGACATTGGGTTTTTTGTTATGGTGGTCTTACGACACCATAGTTCACCTCTTGACTTGTTAAAGATTTCGTGCGTTTAGAATATGGATTTGGTTAACATCACAGTACTATGCCCTCTTACACTCGCTTCAGCCGGTAGAAGAGTAGAAATAAGGGCTGGATTCTAATGTTTAACTTATGCTTGTGAAATTTTCCTTGTTCTTGGATTATTCCTACCCAATGAAGCGTTCACCACCTTATACGAAAAACATCTATAAAATTGCTTGCTGTATTTTTTGCATTCCTACACATGGCTCACTAACAAGTACAACGAACATCATCTTTGCCATTTCGTAATTGTATTATATTTATATCATTTATCTATCCCTAGCATGTCGTCCCTGGAGATAAGTAGCAGCGAATCCTGTAAACCTGTGCAACACAGGCTCCAATATTCCCAAGAACTTACTTTTTGGCCGTAATCTGCTTTCAAAAATGAGATTCAGTCAACTGTGCTTGATCCTCAAAGTAGTTTATTCTGAGGAAATTCGAGGTCGAGATCGTTATCGTAAACTACAGAAAGCCCTACATTATTATTAAATTACGATACAGAAAATACTTCAATGAGGATAAAAAAAAGTTCTAAAGGAATATTCCAGCTGCTACTATAGCTCTCTTGACACTGGTCGACAAGTATACTGAAACAGCGATCTTTCTGATACGAATCAACGTGACAAACAGTGAGGAACACTTCTTTATGGTAAAGTAGCACGAGCCACAAATAATTAAAATATAAAAACCAGCTGGCAAAGTTCAGTATATTGTGAACAAAACGTGCTTACATAAGATAGCTAATAAAGGAATTACAGAAAGTGGCTGAGAAATAGTTAACAGGCTATTTGAAGTTACGTTGTTTTGGAACTTGCAATTCGCGCCATTTCACGCAACTCACTTTCTTCTGTGTTCACCAAAGTGTCAAATTTGTCGAACTCTGCTACCGTTCCACGTTTGAAAAGTAAAATTTTATCACAGTCTTTGATGGTGTTCAATCGATGAGCTATAGTGATGACCGTAGAGTCTCTCAGTTTTTCACGCACTACGCCCAAGATTGTTTTTTCTGTTTCTGGATCTACATTTGCAGTAGGCTCATCCAAGACGATGATCTTGTTTCGTTGCAACAGCACACGAGCCAAACAAATCAACTGTCGTTCTCCAACACTGATATTTGCACCATTTTCCAACAGTTCGTGATCAAGTTGCCCGTGAAGACTTTTCACTGATTCTTTCAGTTGCACATCTTGTAGAACTTGCCATAAATCTGCATCTGTAAACTGCTCAACAAGATCCAGATTTTTCCTCAGTGATCCATTAAACAGTACTGGACTTTGACCAAGGACAGATATACATCGTCGAGTTTCCTGGAGGTTGATTTCCTTCACTGGAATTCCATCAATGACTATTTCATCACACGATTCAGGCATGCGCATTAGAGCTGCCACAAAAGATGACTTTCCAGCACCAGTACGGCCAGCGACACCGATCTTTGTTCCTCCTTTGATATTGAGTTTGATATTCTTCAACACTTGTGGTCCTCCCGGATAATATCTCAAGGATACTTCTTTGAATATGATATTTCCTTCATTTGGCCAGTTTTCCAGGGGTCGTCGTTCGATCATGTATCCTGGCTCACATTCAAGCTTGGTATATGTAA